CTTATTTTTCGACCCTGAAAATAGAAACAATATATTCCTACAAAAAGTCTGCCTCTCTCCTATATACACGGAGTTCAAAACCAAAAGTCCGTATCTTTCATAGTCATCTCCCTAAGGACCTTAATTGTGATATGTATTTATTGTTTTACGACGCTGTAATTTCCGTCTAACAGTAGGTTTATAAGACTATCGCCTATGTAGTCTAGCGATCAGAGTTCCTGCCAATAGTTCCAGATGTCCCGGGTTCGATTCCTGGCGCTACTAGATTTTCTGAGAAGTAGTGTGTCTGGAACGGGGTCCACTCAGACTCTTGAGGATAATTGAAGAGCTGTTTCAAAGAAATAACGACTCCGGTGTAGAAAACCGAAATTAACGGCCGTGGGGATCTGTTGTGCCGACCACGTGACACCGTCTATCCGCAAAAGTTGGCACTAACTTCGCCGACAAGCGACGGTCGCTCACTCGGTATAGTTCGCTTGCGGACTGCACGTCACGGACTTTGTTCTTGTTTTATTAGGTTTATAAGTGAATAATGAAATTGGGAAGATGTGAATGAAACGGTTTTGGATTAATTTATGCACTATCCCTAATTTTGTCAAGAATGTCTGAAGAATGCCAAGAAATACCTCAGCCAGGGTAACACGTTATCTCGCAAATATTTGAAATTTTGGGTTTCTAAATAGATTATCGTCTTGATCCATGCATGCCGGGCAGTAGTTGACGTACCTCATATAGTTTCATGTTCAAGTATATGAGATATATATCCTTTAAAACGAGTACCATCATATAATTTCCTTCATCGTTTCAGAATCCAAAATGAATTTTTATCTTCTATATTCATTGGTATTTTTCCCTTTAATCTCAAGAGAGGGACTTGGAGACTGAATGCGACTAAGGCAGTCACTGCCCTCCTTTTATATACCTCAAGTAATGGGAGTGTACAACATAAGTAGGTCGCAATGATTCAGTATCATCACCAAGTTATGATCTGTGCCTTCAAATCCGTTGAAGCCACCCAACCTGTAGACAAGACCTTCCAAGGCCCAACAAGCCTGAAACAGTTTTCTGTCTTTACACTCGGTGAGGTACATACGGCGTGTCCTGTCGTTTCCGTTAACTTTAACTTTAATATTTAATTTTAAAAAGTTGATTTGGATATGGCAGAGCATGTAGCATGGATGAGGGAGAAGAGGAAAATATATAGTATATTGGTGGGAAATCCGGAAAAAAAAATATCACTAGGAAGACCAAGACGTAAATTGGTGGATATTAAAACTGGATCTAAGAGAGGAATAATAGGGTGGTGTGGACTAGATTGATTTGGCTTAGAATAGGGACCAGTGGAGGGCTCTTTTGCACACAGTAATGAGCCTTCGGGTTCCATAAAATGCTGGGAAGTTTTTGAGAGAGCAGCTTCTTGAGAAGGGCTACCCTTCGTGGAGTTAGTTTCACTGGACTTGACTTTTTCACAGCGGCGATTATGACGAGCACGTTCTATTTGCATGCAACGTCATTTTGCTTCGAAGGCAGCCCGACGTTTCGGAAGAACTTATCGCCTCCATATTCAGGATAGAAGAATAGGCAAAAAAAGAAAGGAGCAGAAGCGGACGGCTGGCTGGAAGATGAGAAATTTAAATCATACAAGTTTAATGTTAGATTTTGTTTTCCACCAGCTCTTCTGTTATCTTCCTTGACTTTCAGACCCTGAAGATGGAATATGTAAGTTCTTCCTAAACTTGTGACTTTTATCCTAATTTGACGGTATTATAACCTAAATTACCATTTGCTTCAATACATTCAGTTCCTTCGTAACCATTGGAATCCTGCTTTGTTGTCTTTTATCAATAATATCCAACATCATTTCTGAGAAGTTTCATCTCTGCAGTTCCTATTCTTTGCTCTCGTTTCTGTGTTATTTTTCAGAATTTAGTGCTGTATGTTAATGGTCGGATAGTCATAGATTTATAAAACTTATATTTTTCTAAGTAGTATTCTCCAGAACCTGCAATTAAATGCATTAACTTACAAATAAAAATGGAGGGTTACTGTCACGCAAACAAATGATTTTATTAATACACCCACAACATATTTCTGTCAAGATGGGCCATCATCAGGAGATTCATGAGGAATATACAAATGATAGAGGAATTCATATGGAACTACAGTTCCGTGACCTGCAGTCCGCAAGCGAACTATACCGATCGAGCGATAGCCGCTTGCCGGTGATATTAGTGCCAACTTTTGCGGATATAAGGTGTCACGTGGTCAGCGAAACGGATCTCCAAGGCCGTTAATTTCGGTTTTGTAGACCGGAGCCGCTATTTCCTTGAAATAGTTCCTCAATTATCCTCACGAGGTTGAGTGGATACCGTTCCGGACCCAGAAAATCTGGCGGGACCGGGAATCGAACCCGTGACCTCTTGTTCTGTAGCCAGGAACTCGGACCACTAGATCACAGAGGCGTTCATAAAACTGCAACGCTACCATAATTTCGAAAATTTGCTAGGTAAATTACTCGAAAGAGTATTGGAGCCGTTCCTAGACAGCAACCCAGTGCAACAGTAGAAGTACTGTTGGAAGCAGTGTTTTCTATGTGGTCCTCTCTGAGTCTACCACCCGACCGACCGACCGATCGACCGAGTTGAGGCAGTTAGTGCAGTGCAATGCAGTGGAGCGGAGCGAGAATTTGGTGAGTGAGTGATTGACTTAATTGAGATTTCGGCAATTGGAAAGCAGTTAGTTCAGCTCGGGAGGCGCAGTGACAACCAGCGAGGACTTGAAGCCGTGAACACAGAAGTTGAGGGATCTACAATGCTGGAAGCCGTTACCAGACAACGACGGATAAGAACACAACTGACCAAGAAGACATACTACGTGATGTAGTGAACTGCTGAGTGCGTTACTCAGCGATAGCTCTGTAGTTACTTGTAGTTAGGATCTGTAAGTGTTCAATAAATCCAATTACCAATCCAAACCCCGTCTCTAGTTACTCAGTCGCATGAAAGTATATTGTATTAAGTAGGATGCAAACTAATTTAAGTAACAGATTTTCAAATTTTATTAGATTTTGTAGTTTTATATGAATTCCATCAGTCCTTCTATTTTCTTCAAGAGCCACCTGATGATGGCCTATCTGGGGCGAAATATGTTGTGAGTCTATTAATAAAAACATTTGTTTATGTGACGGTTATTTCTCAATTCTTATTTCTAAACACCACAAACACGATACAAATCTACAAGATCATTTATTTTTCCTTTCATATTTTATTCTCAACAGTAAAATTATATTATCCATGACAGACCATGCGACGTACGGACTCAGTTTACTAATGAAATGAATTAACTTTAGCGAAATGGATGTACTCAGTAGGACCTAGTATGGACCAGAAATGAGAGATGAGTGGTAAATGGTATATGAATTCCATCAGTCCTTCTATTTTCTTCAAGAGCCACCTGATGATGGCCTATCTGGGGCGAAATATGTTGTGAGTCTATTAATAAAAACATTTGTTTATGTGACGGTTATTTCTCAATTCTTATTTCTAAACACCACAAACACGATACAAATCTACAAGATCATTTATTTTTCCTTTCATATTTTATTCTCAACAGTAAAATTATATTATCCATGACAGACCATGCGACGTACGGACTCAGTTTACTAATGAAATGAATTAACTTTAGCGAAATGGATGTACTCAGTAGGACCTAGTATGGACCAGAAATGAGAGATGAGTGGTAAATGGTAGAGGGAGTACCTTTCAAAACAAGTACTCAAAGCCTTCTGTCCCTTATCCACAGATGACACTAGTATCAAGGAGAGTATAAACCAATTGATACTTCAAAAGAAAATGTTCAATATGAAAATATAACTTCAAAATTGAGAAGTTCTTGGATGAATACCGTATTTATATTAAGATACTACGCGTTATAAAATAGCATGACGCTGCTATATAGATAAACTATTGTATTTTCGGCAAAACCTGTTTATAATATATATAACATTCCTTTCTTCACTGCCATCAGACCATCATAATAATGTGCAGTTGAACATTATATCAGTGATCTCAAAGCAACAGTTGAGTGCAAGCTTAAAAGTGAAAAATCCTTATCCGTAGTTACAGTTTGTGGGAGATAAAAATTCTATTCATCTGTGCGTCTTCTTCTTCTTCCTCCTAAAATTCAAGGGTTGATTCATGACACGTTCCAAGACTAAATAAATTGTGCCAAAGTTTCTTGGTCGTCCAGTGTCACCTCTTCTACTAAGATGATAAAAAGATGCTTACCATAGAAAATACTTGGAAGACATCCTTGCTAGGTAGTTATGTCACTTTTTTGTCATCCTCTTTTCTATTTCATTAATTTTGTAATTGCTTTCTTGCATCGTAGTTCCTCTTTTACCACTCAGATATAAGAGGCCTATAGCGTTATGGTTATACTAGGCTGCTGGTTGAATGCTGATGATGATAAATGGAATAGCTGTTTCATAAGAAATGTGCGACAACACACTGAGAGATAGTACCACTTTCATGCTTATCACAGGCTCAAAATCACTTTTACTAGTGAACATTTTTCATTTTAATTTCTACGGTAGTTCAGTCTATTTTACCGGAACCGATCTCAGTGACCGTGCGGTCTAAAGCATGAACAGTCTTCGCCCGCTCTAACACTGGGATCGTGGGTTCGAATCCCATACGAGGCATAGATATATGTGTGCATTTATTCTAATGCTTGTGTTGTTCTGTGTGTAGGTAGCTGCCTTGCGACAGGCTGATCCCCCGTCCAAGGAGTCTTACCTTGTAATAGGATTAAAAACTCAGAAAGCGGCCAAGGTCCACAGGGGCTGTAAGGCCATAGATAGATAGACGGACGGACCGATAGATGGATGGATGGATGGATGGATTGATGGACAGGTGGTTTACCGGACTACACTTTTTCATCCTATCATATAAAGGTAATTTATTTAATAAAATTAATATAAGGAAAATTGTTCGCCACAGAGTCAAGATCAACTGTTAGAGTCGTCCAGTCCCCTGTTGCGTGGACACAGAAGGCGATCCTCCTGAGGGCAGAGCCATCAGCGCTTGACGGCAACGGCTGAGCTGCAGCAAGTTTCCCGGTTCACACCTGCCTTCAAATCATGGTACTTACCTTTACAAGAGACATTTTGAGTCGTTACAACTTTAAATACATATACAGACACTTAACTGAAGCACATCAAGTAAAACGACTTTGAGGGGGGAAAATAGAAGTAAACCTTCAAATGTTCCTGCCACTATTGGCTATCATCAGAAGGCGTAGGAACTATTTTACACATGTTTACTGATCATCAGTTGTTACTATTACGTCATAGATTGACTTAACAGCAGAAGTAGAAATCAAGAAGATATTCAATTAAATTCAATTCTTTATTATTTATGTGCCATGTCAACAACCGCAAGGCCAGTTAGAGACAGAGCACAGTGTAGATGAAAGTAATTCTATCGTAGACAAACACATTATAAGTTATAGACAAATTACAGTCAAGTACTTGGGAAAACACAATAACGAAGAAAAGTAGACAGACAAACAAATAAATGATAATAAAACAATAATATATTTAATATAATATAATATATTTAAAATAAGTTGTACATATAGAAACTAAACTATCCCTGTACCAGGCCGTGGAGGCACATGTGGCTGTGAGACGTCGAGGCTCCCAGATTACTAGAGAATCAGCTCACAGATGGCGGTAAGATTGTCAGCCTTACGCTCTGGTCGCCCTCTGTGCCCAGGAAGTTCCCTGGTATTCATTTCTGTTAGAGGCTGAGTCGACCCCAGGATCATAGTGCTGCTGGAAGGATTAGGTCAATTGAAAAATACAATGACCTCATCGGAAATCGAATCCGCGACCTTCTGGCTTGTAGCATAGTTCCTCAAGCGTCTAAGCTACGGCGTGCTACCGTATAATATCGTTTAAAATAAGTAAAAAATCTTGCTGAGTTGAAAAAGTGAATAATGACGTCTTCCGTATCTATTGTTGGTTAAGTATAATATCTTATCGTTAAGTTCCAAGAACGACCACGTACAGCAGCAGCGTCGCAACAGCAGGACATTACGAGGAACTACAACTTCTGACACTAACTCTGCAGTGACTTTCTTTTATCTACTCAACAAGAAGTATTAACTTATATTAACCGAGTTTAACCAGTTACTCTAGATATGCGCAACTCATTTTAACCATATTGACAATTTAGTCTTGATCCTAGGGCTACACTAAGTTCCTGACAACTTATAGTTCCTTTATAGCGCTGATTGTGTCTTCTGATGATAGCCGAAACATGTGGAAGCAAATGTTTTATATATTTCCCTTAAACTAACTACACTTGATGGGCTTCACTGCTGATCTATACACAGAGTCCGTACTCAAGCTATGTTGCGATCTTGAGCTTTGCCATTGCTGGTTGGGTGTATTTATATTTTGATGCTGCCTTTGTGCCTTTCCAACATTACGTTAAGAGGATTCGCTGATTTTCTAGAGTCCTTGCTATTCCTAATAGTATCAATATTCTCCATACTGTTAATCCTTCAAAATACAACGTTCCATTAATATTATACTTAAGCATTCCCTTGCATTGATTAATTACTTAGATTTATTGATAAAATTTTCCTTAATTTCAAATTTTAGTTCTAATTGTAATAATTGCCTGTTAGATGACAACACAGTGAGATTAGCTTACGAAATGCCCATCACAGTGGGTGCGCGTGGTCTGAGGCATGAACTGTCTTCGCTCACTCGAACACTGGAATCGTGAGTTGGCGTGGTACTCAAGGCATGAACGTATGTGTGCGCTTACTCTGCGTTTCTGACGTTCTGTGTGTAGATAGTGGCCTTGCGACGGGCTGATCCCCCGTCCAAGGAGTCCTACTGACTGTGTATAGGATTAAGAAACTGTTAAAACGGCCAAGGTTCAATAAAATACTGTAGAGTTACAGAGAGGTGGATAGACAGACAGACAGACAGACAGACAGACAGACAGATAGATAGATAGATAGATAGATAGATAGATAGATAGATAGATAGATAGATAGATTACAATATATGATGTAATATAGCTTAAGTCCGAAGATAATCACATGTGGTCAAAACATGTTGTAGTATTCAAGTAAAGAAGTACTGAAACGTGACAACGGGACAGTAACTACGGACTCATTGAACATTTATAGAAGCTGCATTAAGAAACCTAATTACTCCTAAATAATGAGTTACATTTGAGTTTGTGTAGGATCTCAGTACCTCACGTAACATTCAATAAGCCTTAACTTTAATAGGATCTAAAAGTTTGTGATGATGGTAAATTGTTACAATTAATATATTGCTGGACATTATCCATCATCTTGTCTGTTCTTAAAAAACCCTCCTGTTTCTTTTAAAAAACACAACGTTTCGGGGACTGGATTCTGTCGCCGCCTTCAGGTAAAACCTACTCAGTTGGGTCCAATAGACAGAACTAAGCCCTATCGCCGGACAACTGTGCCAGTTTCAGAAGGGGTTCATAAAAGAAGCACAACACAAACCATCTGTGAGAGCTAAGAAATAGTGAAGCTATCACATACACGTATGAGGTCTTGCACCAGAGAAGTCTATTGGACCCAAGTGAGTAGGTTTTACCTGAAGACGGCGACAAAATCCAGTCCCCGAAACGTTGTGTTTTTTTAAAGAAACATGACTTTTTTTTAAGAACAGACAAGATGATGGATAATGTCCAACAACATATTAATTGTAAGCCTGAACTTTAACTTACAGCCTTGTTTTCGGTCTATAATGCAACAATATTAATTTAACAACATTAATTCACACTTAATTCACTAAATGTTCGATAAATGTTTAAAATATCATTAAAATTATTAAAGCATATGTAAATCCAGTGTTTTTGCTACATATTTCAGCTGCGTAGGACCATCTTCAGGCAACATTTGTTTAAAGGAGGCTACTGCACTGTGCACTGGGTCGAATAGTATTCATTAATGCATGTCATTGTTATTAATTTCGTTGAATTCTGATGCTGTAGGAGGATTTTATAGGACAATTTTCTTCCTATCTTACATATTGCGGCTGTTTTCTTGACCCATTGAGTGTGCCGCTCTCTTAGTTGTGCTTGTCTAGTGTTGCTTTCGGTTCTTGTACCACTGAGTGCAGGGGAAGTTTAGTATCTTTCTCAGAATAATCAGGGCCGTTTCATAGCTCAGGCAGTTATGCGGTAGCTTCTTACCACGGAACCTTGGGTTCAATTCCGATTAACTTAACCTGAGGTTCATGACGAAAGACGCGGAATTGGAGCAGGTTTTCTTGTATGTTTCTTAAATTCTTTTCCGTTAATTATTATGTCACCATTGCTACGTGCTGATCTGTCGCCTCACCTCGAGGTGTACGATAGCCCTGACTACGCAGTACATTATCATATTCCCGGTCTTTAAATATGAGGTTTCATTCCGACCCAGCATTTGGCTTGTTACTGAGTTAAGTACTTTAATGCTGCCTTTGTTCTATCATATGCAACTGCTGTGACACTTTTCAGATGACATCCGTAACGTCAATATCTAACTATCAATCTTCACAGCGTCACGACACAGAAGGCAGTTAAATTTCATGGTAACAGCAAGAAAAATAACAGACCTCAAACATTATGCAGTCACTCGGCAAGGCTGTTGAGGTTTTAAAACACCTGTGCGTGCTAAAGCGGCAGATATTAAAATACTGTTACCTCCCTGGGTTTAAACTCACTCACGATAATACTGGTCATTTCGTTTTATCTCTGTTTCGCAAGCGCAAAAAAAAAAATTACAACGATTTTATGGCGTAGGTTCTGCTTTTCATTTTTACTTTCGCGGGGTCAAACATCGCATAATTTATTTGCAGTTTACAATGAAATAAATTATATTAGGCGATATTAGTTGAAGAATGTTTATCGACTTCTGTTTTATCACAGCTCATTTTTCTCTCATTGGCTTTAGAGATAAGAAAACTGCAAGCTCCCTAACTGTTGTACCATTCTTGAACACAAATACGATGTACATTTATACAAATTATACAGAATTATATTTTCAGTTAAAGAATAAATTTCAATCGGTAGTATAGTTATGTATATATATATATATATATCCTTTTATCTATGAGTCCTGTTTCGGTCATGCAATTCCTGAAATGCTGGTAGAATATTTTGGTACAGCATTTGTACTCTATTGTTGTAAGTTGTAATCCAAATGTTTGAATCTATGAATCTTCTGTATGCCTCGTGTTATGCACAGGCCCGATATTTGTTTAATATCCCAAGTATTTTACAGGACGTTGCTATGTTAGAGTGTTTCGACTTACGACATTAACAAACTTATACTTCGAAATCAACTTAAGACATCCTATCCAAGGCTTAAAATATTCGACATCCGACTCTGGAGACTTCAGAGCCCTCCGAGTTTATTTTCTTGCGCTTATATTCGGTCGATGTTCAGTTCTGTGACGCGAATCATCCGCCATCCGCCGTGCGCAGTCGCACTGTTGTCCCCACACTTCACTGTATCGTTCGCATCTGGTTGTGTATTACTATATAATACTATTATATAATCGTCAACACAACAAATTCGTAAAAACTAAAAACTATTACTGTACTTACTCATGAAGCTGAGTCCTTCTTGAGGAGCCGCCAATTCTGCAGCTACTCAAGAAATTTCCAGCATTTTATGGAAGCCGAAGGTTCATTACCGTGTTCACAAGAGCCATCCATTGCTCCGTATCCTGAACCAGAAAAATCCAATCCATACCATCCTATTCTACCTCTCTAAAATCCATTTTAATATTGTCCACCCATCTACGCCTTGGTCTTCACAGTAGTTTCTTTCCTTCTGGCTTTCCCACCAATATCTGACATGCATTCCTCGTCTCTCCCATTCATGCTGCATGCCCTACCCACCTTATCCTCCTTGGCTTGTTCATTCTAATTATACTTGGAGAAGAGTACAAGTTATGAACCTCATCATTATGCAGTTTTCTCCAACCTCCCGTCACTTCATCTCTCTTCGGCCAAAATTTTCTCCTCAACACCCTGTTCTCAAACAATCTCAGTCTATGTTTCTGCCTTAATAGCAGAGACAAAATTTCACACT